AAAATTTTTCTTTTCTTACAACACAAAAATACAAACTTGTAACCTGATCTTAGAGTCTAACTTCTCAACTTCTTTTTTTGTATCACATACTACTCTGTAGTAGAATCTTTATTATTTGAAAATGATGGAGTAAGATATACTATCCCAGTAAGTAGATCTTATCACAACATAACTAATACATGCAATATATATAGCTTTTACACACATTAAAACATATATATATATATATGATATACTTTTCTTGAAACATATTCACTATCACGAAAAATAAATGAACAGTTGAAAACTAAAATTAGAGTCATGATTCAAAAAATACATTATTGCACTGTACAATGTGCTACACTCTCACATGTACCAGATCACTCAACATATATAGCGCACCAAATTGTACAACGAGCCACATGTCCCAAAATCAGAAAACAGATTCACTTCGTGACATTGTACAATGAGCACCACTTCATCATCATTATGGAGGGCTATTCACATCTTTCTATTGCCATGCATGCATAGGCGCACACTTAACACTGAACACTTCCCCATACATTCAAAGATAGAATAGTTATGTATGAGTTCACACTTATCATATTCCCACTACACTAAAAAATGGAACAATTATATAGAGGCACACTGAAGCTTAGTATCATGCAGGTGCTTTCGGAACGACTTGGCTCGATAACGAGTGATTCACACTTATCAAAATCACTTTCCAAAACACATGGACAAAATAACACTCAAAACATAATAATACTTTCACAAAAAACTTGCACTTTATATATAAAAATACGTATAGAATACTAATGAAACACTTGAAAACTACTTAGGCCATGTAATCACAATATCCACTTACTATATTGAAAATAATTCGAAAACACTTCGAAAACTACATAGGCTATGCAATCACAATACCCACTTACCTTATGTTTGATGCAATTAACTTAAGCTCTCTTTATTTGAGCAGTCTCCACTTATATTTTCCTTAATCTTCTCTAGTCACTCTGACAGAGTCTCCGCTTGTAAATACTTCAATTTTATCTTTTCACTCGGGCAAAGTCTCCCCATATGTTTCTTCAAATCTCTATCAAAATTTTGGCAGCATCTCCCGTTAGAATTATCGTGATTTAACACTAAAAATGTTCTCATTATACGCAAATTAATTTCCACGAAAAGAAACTCGAAACTACATATCTCGCAAAACACGCTACTTTAAATCTAGTAGAGTCCTGACTTAATTTTCAAGCTTTTTTTTTCAAATATCCGGTGGAGTTCTGGAATGCTTTTAAGCAATATCTAGCCTAAAAAATATCTCATACATCACTTAAAAACCATCCCAAAAATTTCAAGACAAATGAAATTCAAATGAAGGAGGAAACTTACTTTAAGCTCGCGGGTTCTCCCATGATTGGTCGTGAGCTTTTACTTTCATTTCCTTTCCTTCTTTGGTTTTCTCCATTTATTATTCCTTCCTCTCTCTTCTTCTCACAATTTAGGTAGATTTTCCTCAAGAAAAAATTCCTAAATTCCTTAAATTTCCCTCACATTTATTGGATATGCACTATTTTCCTCTCTTTTTCCTCTCTTTTTCCTCTTATCCCTCTCTCTCTCTTTTTTTTCTCTCTAACCTTGCTTTCTCTCAACTCCAGAATGCTTTCCCTTCTTCCCAAAACCTTATTTATATAGGAGAGACGTCCATGCAAGTGATAAGCATGGAAGAGGTGGCAAAACATGATTGGCCAGTTAAACCTCCTCAAGCTTCATCCTTACCCTAATCTCTTCTTTAGCTTTTAAGTAATTCTAGAGTATTCTTATCATATTCAGGCTCCTCCCACATCTGATCCTCTTTCTAGGAGCTTCTATACTAAATTTGAGCTCCATTCATTTTATTTTGTGCTGTCTTAGGCCCATCTAAACCCATAAGGCCCAAAACTGCACTTCATACACATGCCTTCACTTCACACAGCCATAACTCCCTCAATTTTTATGTATTTTCGGCCCATTTTCCTTTACTTTCAAATCATGGTTTCATCTTTTACTAATCAATTTAGGCTCAGAATGACAACATTTAGCCCATCTAAGGTCCAACTAAGGCCCAAAAGGTCCAAACTATGCAGAAAGCTAGGCCCATGCCTATACCCTTACTTCAAAACTCCATAACTTCCTTAATTTTCAATCTTTTTGGCCGAGCCTATGCTTCACTATTCCTCAGGCAAGAAACTATCACATGGTTTTAGTTTGGGTTTCAGCTGGGTCCATTTGGCCCACTCATGGCCGAAATAATCCCTAAAGGTCAAAGTTGTCTTCCAAGTGCATGGCTCTTAGGTTTGGCCTCATTTCTCCCAAATTCGATTCTATGGAAATTTTTCATTTTCCACACACTTCTTCCTTGATATTTTGGCTAGTCCTCAACCAACTTTGAGTCTCTCCTGATTTCCTCCCCCACATGATAGATTTCTCTCCTGATTGTTAATTCAATTACTTTCATATTTTCGAAGCATTTTCTTACCTTCTATAATGTTGTTCTAGTCCCAAGAAGTGTTCTTGGGCCTAAAGAACTCAATTTCCTCCTTGAGAGAAAGTTCTCTTTTTGAAGGGTTCTTTTTATCCTAATTTCGTCATCTTTGCTCCGTTTTATTCGAAACTTAGTCCTTAACCTTATTACCTCTCTCTGCATACATATACATGCTTAAATAGCCATACAAAATACGAAAAATTTATCTAAAGAAAATCTGGGTCATTTGATGAAAGGACGGTTTAAAATACATCCTCACACCTTTATCACTAAATGAGGCACATGAAGATCAAATAAAAATTAAGAGGTCATTTGATGAATACTTAACGAGGAAAAAAAAGAGAAAAGAGGCTGAAAAAAAAAATGAAGGCCTAGTAGAGAACAAGATGCTGAGATTAGCCCATTGAGAGAAAAAGAGGTCAAAAAAAAAAATCCAAAATCCATGGTCCATTCAGTGTAAAAGAGGCCCAACAGAAAAATAAAGATGGCCCACTGAGAGAGAGTAAGAGAGAGAAGGAAAAAAGTGTTTTAATGAAAGGGATAAAGCAATGAGGATTAATTTTTATGAAAGGGGAAGTCTAATTGTTCTTACGTAGAAAGACACTTATTTTAATCTTAACCCTCCTTTGCATAGCTTTGCTATCTTTCTCTTGGAGGTAAAAAATACGACGGATGGGTCACGAGAGACTGATATGTATCTCAGAGGAATAATGATTTTGGTCATGAAACATGTCAAAACTAAAGTCAATAAATAAGGCAAGTATGGTATGTTTTCTATTGTTATCACTAATTATTTTTCTTTTGATGAAGGTCAAGTTTTGATGATGAATCATTTTGAAGAAGGGAGAGATGATATTATCCCAGATGACCCAAATTTAGTACCAATGATGCAATCTCACAAGTCCCATACCGAACAGGAAAGTAATTCTAAAATTATTTTGTTTTCTAAACGAGATTATCTTAAAAAAGAGAATAAGCTCAAGTTTCCTAAACTAGAACAACCTAAAGAGAAAAGTAAGTACATCCCTAACTACTTTCCTAAATGGGATTATTTTAAAGAATGGGTCAAGTTCATACAAAGTAGGCTTAAAGCCCAAGTGGCGCTTAATTGACTTGAAGAAATTGAAAGATAAGAAGAAAGGCAACATTTTACCCCAACCTGAAGGAAAATAAAAGCCTCTGGACCTTGAAATCCTGTGGTCCAAGTAGCCCATGCTAAAGGAGAGCAAGCTGGCTCAATTCATGTGCTTGGAAAGCTGCGGACCATACATGGGAAGGGCCACTTGTGCAGAGTAAGGCTCCCACACATGGGAGTCACAACGTGCATGGGAGAGTTGGAATGCACGCGTGTGGACCCTGCTGCATGCCTGTTTGTGCAAGCTGGGAAGCTTGCACACTGGAGACGTGTGCTTGTATGGGCACAACATGCTATACACATGAAGCAGGTAGGGAGATGCACCCGCATGGGCCAAGGTACATGTACGTTGAAGAACCCACGCACACTTAAAGAGTTGCGCGCATGTGGAGGCCTTTCCGCGCATGTAAGGTGTGTGAGCGAGGAGCTAGCTGCTGAGAAGGACTCTACCTTCTCCTTTTCTTCATGTGTTTTAATCCAAATTCACATAGGATTATTCTAGCCTTATTTTATTAAATTTTCTATTAGTATTTTATAAATAATATTATCCGTAAAAATATTTAATTTTTCTTTTGGGTTAGGGATTAGGATAAGGCTAATATTTTATTAGTTATCAATATTTGTATTCAACTAGAAATATTCTAGTGAAAACCTGTATAAAGGCTACACCATTAGGCTATAAAACACACCTTCAAGCTTTTGCTAATTTGAGTATTCTTCAAGCATCTTCAAGGTAGGGAGTTTCAAACTACCTTGTTGAGCCAGAGAATCGAGATCGACTTATTAGGTAAGCCGTGACGTCTTCTTTTATTCTTTTTATTTTTTAGTTACTTGGATAGGCTTTTGATATGTTGATTGTGATTCTAGTAGGGAGGGTTTAAATTTAGATAATTAGGTTGCTAATTACTAAATATAGTGGGTTCAAGATTAAAGTGTTTTTAATCCGTGGAGTCATCCTACTCTACCCCTGAATATAGTGGGTTGATGGTTTAAATTTAAGTTCTAGTACAGACAAGGCGAAGATACATGTGCAAAATGATACGCTCACTATGGAGTTTGATAGAGAAATTATAAAGTTTAATATTTGTGACGATATGAAGTATCCTAGTGATGTTGTGTGTATGGTGTTGATACTGTCGATTCCATAAATAAAAAATACTTTGATTTAAGTCATGATGATAAGCTAAAAATTATGTTTTATAATAATTTTGATGTGGATAGCTTAAAGACTTTAAAAGAGGATTTTTTTGCTAAAGAGAATCTACAAGATATGGTGCTTAAATTGGAACCTCAAAGGAGTAATGACCTTGTGTTAATCTTCCTATTTCTCACATAAAACTTCTACCTTCTATTTTGTAGGCACCAAAATTGGAGTTCAAACTGTTGTGCCAATTGGAAGAAATTAGGAATGATGCCTATGAGAATTCAAGGATTTGCAAAGAGAAGACAAGCTTTTCATGATCAATTAATTTCCAGGAAGCAATTTTTAATAGGGTAGAAAGTTTTACTTTATGATTCTCGTTTAAAGCTATTTTCCTGAAACATACGATCAAGATGGTTAGGTCCTTTTGTCTTACTAATATATTTTCTCATGGTGTAGCTGAAATTAAGAGCTTGGACACCAATAAAATTTTCAAAGTCAATGGTCATCGATTGAAACCTTTTTATGAGGGGTTACCTACACAAAATGTCGAAGAATCACACTGAGCAATCTTGAAGAGGGCACCTAAAAGAATTGACAATGTCTAGCCTAGGACATTAAATAATGGCACTAAATGGGAGGCAACCCACTCAATTTTTTTCTTTATTTCCAGGATTTTTTAATTAATGAATTTTTATTTTATTTATTTTATTTTTTTATCATCTGTTTCCTTTTTTTTTCTCTTAATTGAAAGTTTTTCTGATCACTTGCAGCTTTTTAATAGAGGGAGTACATATAAATTCTTCTGGGTTTTAAGTTGAGATGTTTGCATAAGCCTAGCCTAAGGCTCATGCCACAACCACTTAGCACCTATTTTATTTATTTTGCACTAATTCCTCAAATGGCCAAATTGCCTATACTTCCATCTTCCTTTAACACCGATACCCACTTTCCTCTTCTCCCAAATAGGCACACTTCCCTTTTCCTGCTTATAATCTCCACCACACTAAGCCTCCTCCACTTCAAACCACCACAAAGTAAGCTAAATGAGAGAGAAGAGAATTTACCCCAGGCATACTCGATCCAAAAACAGAGGGCTGCAACCCACTGATGGGGTTGGAAAAAATCCACAATCACCTCTAGTGAAAGTCGAACCACCACAGGGTCGCACTTGAGGAATTGATTTCGCCCTGCAACAAGGGTGGCCCTACGATTGCCGACCAACATTGCAATACTGCAATTGATGTGCCTGATTCTACGACCCAAGAGACAAACAGAATCTCCAAGACAAGTAGATAGGGGAGTTCACCTGTTCCTTCATTTTTTTCCTATTTACTTGATCATTATTTACAACACATTAGGTGTAATATGTGGTTTAAATGTGGGTGAAGGGTGCTTTGCATTTTGGGTATGTGACATCCCAAATGCTAATTAAGGCATAAGGGTGCAAGATACAAAAACAGATTACGAGTGAATGATAAATAATTATATGCAGCAGAACTAATTATTACAAATCTCTTACCAAAATATATATGAGTTCCAATTACACATATATAACTGAGGTTAGAAGTTGCAATAAAATACAAAATATCAAAATACAAAAAAGGTCACTTTTTTCACTATGTGAATGGACTCATCAGAGTGCAAAATAAGTCATGCACTTAAGGTTTGTGGATCCACGGGATCCTCATAGATTTCAAGGGGTAGGTCAACGATCGGTTTTTCATTATTTTCCTCATCTAGGGGGGCATGGAAAGTGGTGATTACATATACTCAGTAAAGAAAACTGTGACATCCCAAATGCTAATTAAGATAAATGAGTGTCAGATATACAAATAGGATTACGAGTGCATGATAAACTTTTACGCAGTGGAACAAATTAGTGGGAATCCCTTACAAATATATATGAGTTCCAATTATATACATATAACTAAGGCCAGAAATGGCTACAAAATACTTTCCTGTTTAAGTTAAGACCTGCTGGATTCCTCTTTGATTCAGGTTGACATCCTTGACACCAAATTTGAGCTATCCAATGTGACATCATTATGATTACAAGATTCTATATGATGTAGAACCCCAAGACCCTTGCTTAAACCTTAGAACTCTTCAATCGGTTTAGAATAGAATTTAGATCACAAGTAAAAAAGGAATCAAATTTGTTCAATCACCCAAATGGTAGAAGTTAAAGAGAACCTAAGAAAGATAAATGATATCCCTTGAACCCAATCCAAATAAGCACCAAGAACAATTGAAATAGGAAATCAAAATTAAAATACAAGTGATAACAATTGTATTCCAAATCAACACCTTATGCATAAAGTGAAAAGAACGCCAAAATACTCTTAACTCAATTCTGAAATGTTTGATTACAACTCTTGATGTCCACAAAGAAGAGTTCCTTTGGTATTTATAGCCAAAGAAATCAATGATAAGTTACAATACAGTAACTATAATTGTAACTCCCACAATAACTAGGTTAATTATGTGGTAATTATAATTGTAACTCCAACAATAACTAGGCTAATTATAGGCATGTAATTATTCTGTAACTCCTTGTAACTCCAATCTTCTTAACCAACACCACTAATTGTTTGTGGCACCATATAGTTATGGGCTCATTCTTGTAATGACACTAAGACAAGACTTAAGCCCAAAATGAGTTATACTTAACTATATGGGCTTAATTAACTCAAAATAAAATAAAACAATCCAAAATACTTAAAACAACTCAATTAATCCAGCCCACACACAAGGTTTATTCATCCATTATTAATAAGATTCAAACAAGCACAAATTATCCCAAATCACTTAAATCCAATTAAAGTTATGAATTTGGGCTGTTCAAAAAGCTCATATTTGAACTTTTTACAATTGGCCAGCCCATCATCCACATGTTTTTGAGTAAAAATTTGGAGTAACTCTTTAAGCTTCTTTGCCTTTGATCTTGTTACTGGTCCGCGGAAACTTTCCAGGTTTGGAACTGTATTTGTGTTTACATCATTTGAAATTTACTCCAAGTCACCTTCTGATGCTCTTTGAGTATCTTGAGTATTTTTAGCTTTGTTTGCATCACTATACCATCTTGACAAAGATAATGTAGTTGCAGATGCTCTTAATTGGAAGGAATCGACCATGTCGGGTTAGTTGTTGGCTTTTAGCTGGAGGATGCTTGAGATAATTCAAGATTTTTGCTTGAACCATTACGATAATGGTGTATACCTTGCCCATATCTGGATTTAGCCTATTCTCTTCATGAGAATTTGGGAAGCTCAAGTGACAGGTTAGGAGATTTTGAAGCACATTGACAAGTTTGCCTCTGAGGAAGTTTGCAACTTTAGAATAAGTGATGATGGATTATTCCGATTTCGAGATCGAATATGGGTACCAAATGATTCTGATCTTAGATCGGATGTTTTGAAGGAGGCTTATGTATCCAAGTTGTCTATCCACCCTAGAAGTACCAAAATATATCGAGATATGAGGCGTCGTTACTAGTAGCCTGGTATGATGAAGGATATTGTTAAGTATGCCTCTCAGTGTCTCACTTGCCAGGGGATCAAGGTAGAGCATCAGAGGCAGAGTGGTCTATTTCAAGGTCTCCCCATCCTTGAATGGAAATAGGAGCACATGACTGTAGACTTGTCACTGGTTTGCCGAGGACAAGTTCATATCGTGATGTTATTTGGGTCATTGTGGATAGACTGATCAAGTCTGTCCATTTCCTTGCTATCAAAACTACAAACTCAACTAGTAAGTTAGTCTAGTTATATGTTGAGGAGATTGTCCAACTCCATGGTGTTCTTACTTCTATGGTTTTGTATAGGGATCCTCGTTTCACTTCTCACTTTTGGAATGGTTTCCGAGAAGCTTTTGGTTTACTTATCACTTCCAAACCAATGGGCATCAAAAATAGACTATTCAGATGCTGGAGGACATGTTGCGCACCTGTTTACTGGACTTTGGTGGTAGTTGTGTGACATCCCAAATGCTAATTAAGGCATGAGGGTGTGAGATACAGAAATAAATTATGAGTGCATGATAAAAATTATAAGCAACAGAGAAAATTAATACAAATCCCTTACAAATATATGAGTTCCAATTATATATATATAACTAAGACCACAAGTGGCTACAAAATACAATGTCAAAATACAAAAAGAGCCACTTCTATCATTATACTATTAGACTCATCAGAGTGTCGAAACAATCATGCACTCAAGGTTTGTGGATCTACGGGATCCTTATAAACTTTAATGGGTAGGTTAGCTAACAGTTCCTCACTATCTTCCTCGTCGGGGGGGGGGGGGGGAGGGGGGGAAGAGGGAGGACATGAAAGTTCCATGGGCTCAGCAAGGAAAACATTATTTAGATAACATTGTAAGGTTTTAAAAGGTGAATAATTATAACATAAACACTTATCATTAGGTTACATCGTAGTCCTATCTTGCCTTATGAAAACAATTATTTATTTAAAGAAAAACATCATGTTATAGTCACAACCATCAAGATAAAATACACAGCATACCTAACAATAGAGAAAATCAAAGAAATCATGAAATATTCAGATTTTTGTGTCATGCTTCACAAAGTCGTTATGGCTTTCATCTCTGAAGATAGATACAGATTTTTGACTACCCGTGTGGAATGACCAGATCAGATACAGATAATGAAAATTTGCTCAGGCATATTTTCGGCTTGCCAAACTATGGTATGATCTATGACCACAGTCGTACCAACCATAGTGATCCCATAAGATATTCTACAGTCACGATAGTACTTAGCCAATTGTGACCCCTAATAGATATTCGCGCCACCACGCTTGTCGGAGGGTATGCTGTAATCAACAAGGAGCGATCCTCTTACGTCTTTCCAGACCAGATGAGGGAGGGAGAAAATAGATATCTCAGATGTGGGTAGGGGAATATATACCCCTCAGAGATAAAAAGCCTAATGAAATACTTGATGCATTATGCATGTCAATATAAATACATGCTTTGGACCATTCATGCTTCATTCGACTTTTTTATTTATTTATTGTTTTCCAGATAATCCTACCAGTTTCATATTATTTTATTTACATGCAAATCATCAAGTGTATATAAATCACATAGCATGCTTGAAATTAAGAATAATTTAATTTATCATATCTACCAGACACGGAACATGCAAACAGGCAAAATCATAGATCATTAATTTAATTTTGTCTAAAAATACTCCTCAAGACGTTTAAAGAAATACTAAATTCCTTACTGAAACTTTGATAATTTCTCCTACACCGTTTCTCTTCTCCTCATCTCCTTCTTTCTCTAGATCACTCTTTTTTCCTCTCTCTCTCTAACTCTTGAAAGGTGGAAGAATGAAAGTGAGGAAAAAATGGGAGGAAGGGCCTCTATTTATAGAAATGAGGGCTGTTGGATTTGCGCCAAGTGGCAAAATTTGGTGAAGAGAGAGTTAGAAAAAATGGAAGATGCTTGATTTGATGTGGTACGAAAAATAAAGAAAAAAACCTCTTGAATCGGTTGCGGCACCTCAAGTGGTGGCAAGTCACCCAAGGTGGGTAGCGTGACATTGCCTGAGGCAACAGTGAGCCTCACCCACCT